ATTATTTCCGGAAGATCTTTTATGGGCTATCATAGGTTGTCATCTTGATCCTACTGATGAATCTGTCTTAAAATCATTACCTCAAAGATGTTTACAAAGTCTACCATTATTTGATTCCGTGATCTTTGATTCCAAGCATTTTTCGGTCATCACAAATTGGATTGAAAAACAAGATATAAATCATTTCGACAAAAGAAACCTTCCTTATTCATTCTCACTTTTACTTCGTGCTTCTCGAGATGGTATATCATCTGATAAGTTTCATCAGTTATGTGATAATAAAGGTCCTATATTAGTGATCTCAAAAATTCATCACAATGGACAAATAGTCGGTGGATATTGTCCGATGGATTTAAGACCTGGCTCAGTCGTGCGCCAACATGAAAGCTGGTTGGCTTCACATGATAGCTTTGTATTCTGTTTTACCAACTCTAATTTTTACCTTTCTCGAGTTGTGGATCATCAAAAAGCTATTCATTATAATCCACATACATGCATAGGATTTGGTAATCAAGATATTTTGCTTAACAACAATCAAATACGTAGTATTTCTGAATCTTGTTATTCGAATGTTAGAAATGTTTTATTACGAGGTTCTCACTCTTTAGATGATTATGAAGTTTTCCAAGTAATCAGGAAATGACAATATACATAATATACATAGACACTAGAATTTAAAGAAACTTTACAAACATTATATAGTTTAAATTTTAGATTTATTTATTTATTTACTAAAACTTCCATTTTATTCATAATTATATGTAGATTTGTAATTTTATTTCTTCTTCGAGGACTTTTTTTCACGTTTTCTCATTTCATAATAAAATCTTGGCGTTTTTCTATTTGTAACCATTTTTGGAATCTTATTTAATGGCCTTTTGGATTTATTTGTAATATCTGTTATTCTTTGCGACCTTTTTTTATTTGCGACCTCTCTTGCCCTCTCCAATCCTCCTACAATAGTTAATATCAATTGTCTTAATTTGTAGATCCCAGATTTTCTTCGGGCAGATACCATCATAGGCTGAGGGATAGCGTTTCTATAAACTTCAAGTTGCTCTTTAACAAGAGTATGTCGACGTGCAAGATCTGGTGCGATCACTAGGTCACATTTAGTTAAGATTATCTGAAATTCCACATTCTTTCTGGTTCGTTGAATATATCGAGTTAGCTCTTATGTAAAAAAAACAATAATAATAATTAATTAAAGAAATAAGAATAGATCAAAGTAAATTATTAACCGCTCAAGCATTGAAATAAATTCTTTGTCTGCTATTTTAAGACCTGTTTATCAAAATATCAATTAGTTAAAAAAAATTTTTTTTTTAAATATATTAAAGTTTATTTTTCTAATAATAGCAACAAAAGAATAAAAAATAATAACCATGCCGTGCATCAATTATCACAAAGATCCTTTTCAAAGTTTTCCTTTCTGATATATAAGTTTCTATCTATTCTTTGAAAAATAAGGATATCGTTACTTTTTTTTGTATAATAATAAATTTAATTATAATCATAACGTACCAATTCTTTCCATTTGATCCTTTCTTCATCTTTAACATAAGCAAATCCATAACCAGGCATATCAACCATATTAAACATATTACCAGCAGCGTAAAAATTGATTTGCTGCGTTAATCCTGGTTTTTCAGACGTTCTAACTACTGTAGTATCAGCCAATGCATTGATCAAAGATGATTTACCAACATTGGATCGTCCTAAATAAATCAAACGAAAATATAAAAATTTCCACCTCAATTATTTTGTTATGTTGATTGGTCATGCTTATTTGTTATGTTTATCAACCGCTTACCAACAAAACATAATTCTTGAACCCTCTCGGGTGGAAAAGACGTTGGAACTTTTGCACCCGCAAAAAATGATAAATGAGGTAACTTATAATAAAATGTAATATATATAATAATGAAACTTTGATGAAAGTTTGAACCTATTTTTTTTTTTAATTACGCAAAACACGTACCTCTAATTGTTCCTCTCGTTCAAGTGTCAAATCTCCAAGTTTACGTTCTAATCTTTTCTTTCCAATAATTTTTACTTTTTTTCCAAATTGATTCCCTATACAATTTCGAGGTTTTCCTAAGTTAAGTGCCTCAATTTCACGTAATGTTTCATGGGATGGTAATATTTGTCGAAACTTTTGACGATTAGACAAAATTTTTGGTGTTTTTGGTTGAGTAACAGGCATTGGTAAGGTAACAAACTTTTTTGTAAAAATTGGTAGCAGACGCGCTTTGTCAAGAGGAAATTTTATTATATGCATCCTATTTATATGCCCATGAATTATTTAATCGTTTTTAGAGTTTATGCGGTATGAGCAGAGATTTTAAATATGATATTTTATATAATTTCTTGTTACACTACTGACAGTGCCGTTTAAGGATAATGATAATCGGACTTTAAAAAACTTATCGAATAATCATTGGTAAATTTGTAGATTTTTCGAAATGGAAATGTGAAGCTTATAGTATTTAAATTTGATTTTTTTTCGATAATAATAAAATATGCTGTAAAGTCACGTCTTTTTGTAAACAACAATAAAAAACTTCTAGTTTATTTTTAACTCAGAAATTGATTTTGTTACAAATATATATATATATATATATTACGTATAAAACATCTGGTTATACCTATATTTAATGAAATTTTACAGATATTTGTTTAAATCCTAATGTTATTCATGAATAATAGCCGTATATGTAAAAAAAAAATCATCATAACCTTAAAACGGCTTAAAGTCACTATTTTTCATCAAATTTCATCAATCGAGATGTTCTTTTCTTGACTCTTCTAATTAAGATAAAAATTTTTGGTTTTTTTTTTTTTTTTTTTTTTTTTTTTTTGGCACGAGCTGCGAAGGAATGATAATCGTAATTTGTTACAAAAAAAACCAACGAATTCGGATTGTTGATTTTCAAAATTAAACGGATTATTTCATTCTTTCCGATTGGGTTGCGATAATGAAATTCATATACTCATATTTTCCAACAAGTAATTCGATTGTTAATATAGTATGCTCTACACTTGATATCATTTTTATTTAGCACATCCGCTATATTTAAACCTCCGAGGTACTCCTCTGTAAAAAAAAGTGAGTAACAATGTTATCATCGCACCTTCCTGAATGCGGATAGGAACCTTCACGGGCGACTTCCTGTAAGAATGTGCATGCAGGACTCACTCAACCGCAGCGTGTCTCGCATTCCTATCATGCTAAACAAAGTGAGTGATGAAGTTATCACACCTTCCTGGATGCGGAATCCAAGAGATAGGAACCTTCACGGGCGACTTCCTGTAAGAATGTGCATGCAGGACTCACTCAACCGCAGCGTGTCTTGCATTCCTATCATGCTAAACTATCATCATCACTTAATAAACGAACTCAGTGAACAAATGCTCACCTTATATTTTTTTCATTAGAATTTATGTTGAATATGTTAGAGTAATTCACGTTGGATATGTCAGGATATTTCATGTTGGATATGTCATGATAATTTACGTTGGATATGTTAAGGTAATTCCTATCTTTAGATGCGTCTTGAGTTATATCTTGGAGAAAAAATAGAAATTCAATTTACCTTGTGTCACATGAAAAAATCGCGATGTTTTCATGATGTGTATCTAATTTCCTAATTAGGGGACGTCTAAAGTGGAGTAGATTCTTATAATATATTATTAATTTTAGGGTTAGGGTCGTCCGTCCTCCCTGGCGTCCCTGACTGTAATTGCTGACTCGGGTAGCCAATCACTCGACTGTCCTTGCTGAATTTTATATGTAGGTAACGGTACTTCGGATTATACTTCAAAGTATATCTGATTTAATACAGTACTTCGAGTTATATTTAACTTAGTGTTCCAAAGGTAGTCTACTTTGTAAAAATGTACACCAACCGAAGTACTTCGTTAACATCCCTATACATACATACGTGGCACTGCTCCAATAGAGATTGGAACCGCTAAAATTTTTTTTTTAATCGTTTAACCGTTTGACCATGTTGACCTTCTAATTCAGCCAGCATTAGAATAATTCGGCCCGGAATTATGAAATAATTTTTACATAGAGTCTGGAACCGGTTTTATATGTTAAAATCGGGTTTATCATATAAAAACATCGGTTCCAAACTTTAGCATTACAAAATGTTTTGCACCATGGAAGATCTTTCCATTAACCGATTGTTTATTTATCAGAAATTTATTTGCGTGAAACAGCATTATATTAGAATGAAATGTTGCGAAACATTCATATTTGAAAATGTCATCATTGACTTCTTTAAACCTGGAACTTTATGAAGTCCAGTCAAAAAGATGGCCTGCTTCGGGCCGTCACATTATGGCACAATATGACGAATCTACAATTACTGTTTATCAAGCATTTAAACCTTCCATTGCCAATTATGCTGTTGAAAATCAAAAATTTGGTGGTCCAAGTTTTTCATGGTTTTATTTAATTCATTTAATTCATTTGCACTTCACATTTATCTTTATAAATGCGTATGATTTTTAAAATAATGCAATCACTTTTTTGTGTTTATAGGGAGGTATGAAATTTAAAGATACCATCTACTAATATTATTTAATATGAATAACTTTTTTCTTTTTTTAATAGAGAATGACGTGGATAAAGCCTAACTTTGCTTGGATGATGTATAGGTCTGGATGGGCTACAAAAAAAGACCAAGAAAGAGTAAATAAACAGAATAATGTAATTCATAATATGTATGGTCGTGGTTGAAGCTGAGATCGGAGAATTGACCTTATTTGATAAAATTTTTGAGGCGCATTTTTTTAGGATTCTTTTTATGGTTTCTTTTTAGGGTTAGGATAGGAGTCATGATTGGAATTTTTAATAAAAGAGCATGCCCCGTATTGTCGCGAATTAACGGGCATGGCGTTATTTAGAATAATGGCCCAAATTAAGCTTAATTTAGGCCGAAATTCCTAATTTCCACCTGTGCGACAATACGGTATGTGAATTTTATAGGTTTAATAGACTCAAATTGAGATATCAAATCTCAGCATCAGTCACGACATGTATTACTATAAATTTAATATGTATCAACTATTTGTTGCTATAGATTTTGGCCATCAAAATAACTCTTCAAGGATTTCAAACAATTCTTTCAAATGCAGTCGCTTCATCATATGGGCAATCTAGAAATATCTTTGCTAGCGAAGAAGAATGGAATGTAGCATTAAAAACTTCAGATATTAGATTACAATGGGATCCTGACCATGATTTAATTGGAGGAAAATTAAATCGTAGAGCAATTCAATTAGGCATTCGTAGAAAGTTCTTGGATCAATATTCTAATGAATGGATTCAAAGCATTGAAGATATTACTGAGTTGGTTAAAGAACAACATAAATTAGTGGTAGAGGAAAAATTTGATCAAGTTATGACACCTTTTGAAATGGTTTATGATGTTTCAAAAGAGCTAAGAGAAAGAATTGGTTTGGATATTGTGAATGATCCATAAAAATAAAATTTTTCTTTAAAACAGTATTCATTTGAATTCTATGAATTAATAGAATTCAAGAAAAAATTTTCATCGAATTTGGTTGAGTCAATGTCTGAGAAAAATTTTTGCGCAGCTTTGACGAATTTTTTTTATTTGAGTTCTATGGTTAAAATAAAAAAAAGTCTTATCGAATTTGATCAGGTAGCTGTCGAGATATCTTTATTCAAAGTTTGTATTTGATAGGTGTTTTGATTTTTGTGCGAAAATATCTCGATAACCATCTGATCGATTTCGATTAAAATGTTTTCTTTAAAACAAATATTACATTAAAATTGGTTTATTAATATTTTTAAGAAAAGGAATATTTTCAAAACGATTCTTTTCAATTTTACGATTGGGATCCACTTTTACCAATCGTTCTTTTTCACCATTCCGTGCTCAACATACCGCCAACGCTCCTACATTTATACAATTCTCTCCAATTCTTGTTTCAACTTCAAAGAATTTCTTTAACAATCGTGCAATCCATTCAAATTCAACGTTAAATAATGTGGCACTAACAGCTTATGAGGTCGACAAAGACTTTTGGTCCCTAAAAACTACAATGATGATATTCAAGCAAAAAATAAGGATTGCTCAAATCTCGACTAAAATTCTGACTTGGACGATTTAACTGTGCTAACATTAAAAAAAAAATTGTAGAAGTTCAAAAATTATTGAAAAAGGCTGCACAAGATTTATCATTGTTGGTTTCTGCTTCACCTCCAGAAATTTTTAACAAGTCTATTAGTATCAAAGATGATGCTGTTGCCGTCAAAGCTAATGTTAAAAAAAGTTTTATTGTTGGTTGAGGACGATGATATGTCCGGTAACGTTGAAGAAGCAATTAAGAGTTTCAAAGAAAACAGAGTTTCTGGTAATGTTGTTTACCTTAGATGGTAAAGATGAGAATTAACCTGTCGGCTTTCGGCACGACTTGTATCGATAATGTTGTGGTAAGTTTCATGGTTAATTATGTAGTTGATTGTATGTACAAAATATACGATATTAATTTTTTTACAATCTTTACTTGTTTAGAGGGTGATGCATGTTTTATCATCACAAATCCATAGTGGCCATATTTTATCAATAACAGTTCTAAAGAAATTTATAAAATGACGTGAAATATAATTCTTTATTCTTTTTTTTTTTGTAGATAGCTTTTTTATCTTGTTTTGCAAATGCAATTGTTGCAATTGCCATTAATAAAATGTGCTTAAAACGAATTTGTTGTATTGAAAACTTCTTACAAGCAGATTTCATATAAATGCACAAAAATAATCTCATTCACAATGGCACACATTTGACAAATCCTTCAGAATGCGATCTTCACCTTATCTTGTACATTACTGACTAATGTATCAAGTATGTACGTATTGGCTTTCACCAATAAGAAGATCATCATCTGTGTTATATGCGTCGTCTTGCAAATTTTCAGGGTTAACCAATTTATTTTCAATAAATTTAAAAACCAAATCAATCACCGAATGCTTTATATATTCGATAAGCTCAGATCCTAAATAATATAAAATAACATTGTTGACAACAATGAAATCGACAAATAAATAGACTTACCTGATGAAAAAGATGACTTCCAAATCTTGTGTCGATTATTTTTTTCCTATCGGTAGATCTGACATGAGCCAATTTCGACAATGCAAAAAATTTAAGATATTTAAAATACGTATCCAAACTTTCATACGGTTTTTACAAAATCAATAGAATGAGCTGACACAGTAACTTTTACTTTCTCAGATAACTCATTAGCTAAAGCCGAAACACACATGTTTGATAAGTAACACCAAAAACAACACGATATATCCATGATACAACAAAAAAAATAAATAAAGGTGGTCAATGGTTTTGCATAACATCTATAGCACAATGATCTCCATAGCTGTGGGCGACGATGAAAATATTTCGTGCCTTAGATGTCTATGTGGAATAAAGGATTTGGTGTTTACATATTATAAATGAAAAAGAACAATTAAAATGAAAATTGCATTCAAGAATACATTATGATATTCTCGAATACATAATTAATGTGGGTCTCTGGGGATTCACTTCCTGAAAATAGATAGATGATGCCGATAAAAAAATAGCCTTCTTTTTTTTCTTTTTTTTTACCGTAAAATCTCGACATAACGAGCGTTTGCGTTATCATAATCACTTGCACGTTATTTCGAGTATACCATTCTACTTTACAAGAATAGCAGATAATTTTCCAAGTCTGGCTGTACTATATATAAATCTGCTGATAATATTATTTAAGATAAGTGCTATTTCGATGCCCATAAGCATTAACAGTGCTATTCTTAGAGGATTCGATTTTCGAAATAACACACATTATCATTATTCCATTATGCGAACAGCTTCCAATTTATCTGAAATCGTGTCGAATGGTGCAGTAGCTTCGGCAAAATAAGCTATATAATCAATACGATGAGATTTTATTTAAAATATATAAGTTCTGTAAAATCATCTAGTTTTATAATGTAATACATACCACACCTTTCTCCTTATACCAAAATACTTCGTTAGGATTTAACATTACGACAGAAAAGCACAATTGGTCATTGAGCCATCCTTTATGATGGAGGTTTGAATAAAGAATAGTAAAAAGAAAAAAAAAGTTAAAGTCAGGACTCTTGAGCATACTATAACAGAAATGTATATAAGAGCTCTCCGCGACCAGAACCGACTCTAATTTAATTTAGATCAATTCATAAAGTATACTTATTAAAAAATTATGAAATTCGAATGATTTTTACTCACGAATAAGCAGTTCCAAGAATGAATATAATCGTCTTGTCATTAGTTTCATAATCTGGTCTAAAATTTTTTATATTATTATTACAGTAATAACTAATAACAAATATGTGTTTCAATTCGTAAATGTCAGATAAATTCTGGTATGCATATCATTTCTGTAGCAGAAAGAAGTAGTATCTTTTTTATAAAACCAAGTTCTTCCTCGACCAAAGAGCCCAAAAATTCTGTAAATTTATCGAGCTCAGACAAATCAAAATTTTATAATAAGCAATTCAAGCAGTAAAAAAAGAAAAGTACCCATTATAATATCATAAAAATGCTCATGATAAGACGTCTTTTACTTCAAATTTGTAAATTTCTCCATTTATGGGACGCAATATTAGATTACTAAAAGTAGCCTAATGTATGAATCTAAAAGTTCTTCACCTTCTATCGATACAAGTTGATTTTTTTCATCAATCTTGTACCCGAGTTCCTCCGAGTCACGAAAAATCCCACAAAGAACTTTCCCATTTCGATTTTATATATATATAAAGCTAATTTTATGAAATTAATTACATGAAAAACCTTTTATTTAGGATAACATAAGGACGTTAGCACTGGAGTTTTTTTAATAATATTATGATAAATAAATAAGAATTAAAATTGAATTAATGTCACCTCCTTGTAGTGTAGTGGTTTGTTTACTATATCGATACTACATAGCACTGGGTTCAAGACCCATTAGTAGGGTGGGAAATGGGCTGGATTTAACCTGATATTTTGCGGGTCGGGTCGGGTTTGAACCCGGGTCAGGCCTAAATTTTAGACCCGTTATAAATTGGGTCGGGCTCGGGCCAGGCCTATTAAAGTAGTGGGTCAGGTTCGGGCTTTGTTAATTAAACCGTAAAACCCGATAATATTCAATAAACAATAACCTTCGAGATCAGTTGTGTAATCAGTATTTAAGTTTAGCAAATA